CCTTTTCCACTCTGGAGTTGCCTGCGGGGAGAGGCGCCGAGCGGGGGTGGGCATACTTATTGCCCCCTGGCTGGGCGCCTGTACATTGGGGTTTACCGCAGTGGACAAAAGGGTAGCCTCCCTTCGCCTTCGGGTGGGGGGACGGGTTCTGACTGTTGTTTGCGCTTATGCGCCGAGCGGCAGTTCAGAGTACCCACCCTTTTTAGAGTCTCTGGAAGGGGTGTTGGAGAGCACTGCTGGGGGACTTCAATGCTCACGTAGGCAATGACAGTGAGACCTGGAGTGGTGTGATTGGGAGGAACGGCCCCCCCGATCTGAACCCCCCCGATCTGTTGTTGGACTTCTGTGCTCGCCACGGATTGTCCATAATGAACACCAAGTTCAGGCATAAGGGTGTTCATATGTGCACTTGGCACCAGGACACCCTAGGCCGCAGTTCGATGATCGACTTTATAATCGTGTCATCGGACTTGCGGCCGCATGTCTTGGACACTCGGTGAAGAGAGGGGCGGAGCTGTCAACTGATCACTACCTGGTAGTGGGTTGGCTCCGCTGGTGGGGGAGGAAGCCAACCAGGCCTGGCAGGCCCAAGCGTATAGTGAGGGTCTGCTGGGAACGTCTGGCGGAATCCCCTGTCAGGAGGAGTTTCAACTCCTACCTCCGGCAGAACTTTTCCCATGTCCTGTGGGAGGCGGGGGACATTGAGTCCGAATGGGCCATGTCCTGTGCCTCCATTGTGGAGGCGGCTGACCAGAGCTGTGGCCGTAAGGTGCTCGGTGCCTGTCGTGGTGGCAATCCGCGAACCCGCTGGTGGACACCAGTGGTGAGGGATGCCGCAAGCTGAAGAAGGAGTCCTATCGGGCCTATTTAGCCTGTGGGACTCCAGAGGCAGCTGACGGGTACCGGCAGGCCAAGCGGGAGGCGGCTTCGGCGGTCGTTGAGGCAAAAACTCGGGTTTGGGAGGAGTTTGGTGAGGCCATGGAAAACGACTTCCGGACGGCTTTGAGGCGATTCTGGTCCACCATCCAGCGTCTCAGGGTGAGAAAGCGGTGCAGCATCAACACTATTTATGGTGGGGATGGTGCCCTGCTGACCTCAGCTCAGGATGTTGTGGGTCGGTGGACCCAATGAGGAAGCAGAGTCTGGGGATTTGGGGGTGGACTCACCTATCTCTGGGGCAGAGGTCGCTGAGGTGGTTAAAAAGCTCCTCGGGGACTTCCGGTTTCACGATGTAGTAAGAAGTCGCACGTTGTCTGTGCTCCGACTTTTTGTTTAGTTTGTGTCAATTGCAGCAGTCGTCTCTTCTATTTGACACGTGAAAACGTGTCCTTAATATTCAGGGAGCGAATCGAATGCAGGAATGGGTAAAACTAAGAAACCCGGCAGCCCTAATGACCAAGCAGCCTCGGGGAAAGATTTAGAGGAGTCCGACATGGCGGCGGCGCGGACGCCGGCGCCTGTCCCTCTAACACCAGATATACTCGTATCCGAGCTTGAGAAGTCAAGGCGAAGTTTAACAGAGGAATTTACTGTTTTGCTGAACGCCTCTCTGTCCCCTTTACAAACTTCTTTGGATAATATCCACGGCACTTTGGCTTCTCATACCGCTACTATTTCAGAGATGGAAACAGCCCTCACTGATCACAGCGGCAGGATTACTGAATTGGAGAGCGAAGTCACCTCGTTAAAGGCAAAGCTATCAGCGGCGACGGATTTAAACGCGACGCTCGGTTCTGCTGTGGACGATTTGGTCTCCCGATCGAAACGACAGAATCTACGGGTGGTAGGCCTTCCGGAGGGGATTGAGGACAGAAATCCAAGAGAGTTCATGACTGACTTTTTCGTTAAAACCATGAAAGATGTCCTTTCGGCCCCACCTGAAATTGACCGCGCCCATCGGAGTTTGGTGCCCAAGCCCCGTCAAGGTAGTAGACCGCGGCCATTCATCGTCAGATTTCACAGGTTTCTGGTCAAAGACACCATACTGCGCTGGGTCAAGGAGCACAAAGAGATCTCCTATCAAGGTCACTCCATTAAGATCTATGAGGACTTCAGTGCGGGAGTCGCCAGGAACCGCGGCGCTTTCAACAAAGTTAAGTCGAATCTGTATAAGAAGGGAATCCGCTTCGGCATGATCTACCCAGCTCGCCTGTGCATCACTCATAACGGTGAGCGTATCTTTGACTCCCCAGAGGCGGCTGAACGTTACTTTCAGGAACATATTCTAGATGGATAACGTCTTTGTCATTCATTTTGGGCAGCGATAATGGTCAAGTTCAAAATCTGAGTTTTTATGCCGTATCCTGTGTTCTTTAATTGCAGCGATAATGTGCAACGTGCTAAACTAATCTGAGCTCTCTCTTATTTACT